TACTTGGCTGTCATCTATGGACACACAGGCTCACATGAACAGCTATCAGGAGGGTAATGAGGAGCAGGAAGATGATAAATAATCCTAGAGCCATAAAGACCACGTGTCAATCTGAAATGTCTAGAAACATATCTCGGGCCAATTTGGAGTCGAATCACCAATCTTCTGAAGTGAGTGACCTCCAAAGTGCCTGTATCTTCAAGATACTCAAAGGTCGTTGCTTGGGGCATAAAAAATATGTCTAAATCAATTGCATTACTGTTTCCGAAGCCTGCAACTTTTACTTCGACGACGTTAAACAAATTCTGTAATCCAGATACTTGCAATACGGAGGTAGAAGAGCTGAGGTAGACAGTCTGCGTGTTTTCAATTGCGAGTCCACCGTGCCCACATTCTAAATTCAATTTCGAGGTCGGACCCACTGTGATACATCCATTACCCTTAATGTTCGTGTGCGATCTCCAATTTGTGTTGTACAAACAGATTGATCCCTGGTTAGTGACAGCTCTAGAGTTGTCATTTGGGGATTTCCCGTCAATTACAACGTCTGCCATAGTTCCGCCCTCTTTTTGAAAAATTAATCTGCCCTCGTTGAGCCATACGCTTCTTGAACTGATACAGAATTGTGGTCTTTCGAATCGGGTCCTGCACTGACCGAAAAATATATCACCACCGTTCCAAAACATGCTACCAGCCGAGAGAGCATACAGAGAGCTGGCTTCGGGCAAAAAAGATATAAATAAGGAATATCCAAAATTTTGAATGAGATTTGCGTCAACTCTTAAATTAGTAGTCATCTCATCGTTCTTGATCAAAATGCTACCGGAATTCGAGAAGATTCCCAGAACAACTATACTTGGGCTGTTGAAAATCGCGAAGTTTACATCATCAACAACGTGGAGATCTAATAAGTCTATTTTGCCCGGGGTGGCCTCAGTAGTATCTTCGGAAACATTCCGGGCCAAAGCCAAGGTGTTACAAAACATTACTACTGCTGCTGCTAGTTGAATTCTTAGTTTCATACAGATGAATATTTGCAGTAGCATGTCGGCTGTTTAATAGTGGTCAAGTAGGTGTTTGTTTGATTTTTTGCTTGTTTTAGTCACCATAAATTTCTCTCGTATGAATTTTGATAGATTAGGAAGTAAAGACTGAATTTATATCGCGTTATTCTTCGAAGATATTAAATATTGGCCCCTAGATCAATCACCTAAATTTCCGCGACAATAGAATAGAACAATAAACAAGAAAATGTACAGCAAAGAGCAAACACATAAAAAAAGGTAATTTCAGGCAAAATAAAATATAAGTTTTTTTTAGGGACCTCACGGGACATAGGGATTATGTATTACTATTTGATTACTCCTATGTCCCGTGAAGTCCCTAACATGAAGGTCACACCCGGAAGGAGCGAGGGCTGCGAACTGATCAGAAGGAATCTGAAGCGGTAAGGCCAGATACGGCTACCCAGGGGTGTTGAGTGATGAAATAGTAATACATAGCCCCTATGTCCAGTGAAGTCCCTAACATTTTTCCTCAAAAAAACGACTAAACTTTAAATCTTCCACAACCCCCAGGGAATTCTTGGCAGCAAAAGTTCTGCCTAGTCTATTGTACATGGCCGCGAATAAATTTAGGTTGAAGAAGAATAGAAACTCTTCTTTCAGAAAGACGTAATTCATTCTAATTATTGAATGGACAAATCCATGTTCTAAAAGTAGTCATGTCAAACTTTCGAAGATCTCCTATTGAACTTTCATGCACCGGTCCAAATATTTATGATGCGGCAACACCCCTGGAGAACCAATACGAATGAAGTAATGAAATTTATGGTAGCTACATGTCCGATGCTATCGCAACCAGGCTTCTCACGCAATACTGATCTTTCAAAGACGTTCGGGGTCAAGGTGCCATATCATCGAGCTTCCGTAATATGGATCTATATACAATATTTTAAGCACATGTTTCACTTCATCTCTTGCAACTGCTGATGGAAATTTCTCGCTTCTGAAAATCTTGGAAAGCAAAGGATATATAGTCTTTTCAATGTGAAGAAAATATTCAATCTGGCGTATATAAACAGGACGACAACCTCCCTTAGAACGAAATTTAAATCCCAGCCAGTTATGTTGACTCCCAATTTTCCGTCAACTATGACAGTTATTATCGTGAGAAAACAAATGTGACGTGCGCAAGCCCGCAGACGTGGACTAAGAGTTCTTTTAGCAAAATATTGACTTGGAAGAAAATGTCAGAGATCTTGAAGTTTGATGAGGACTGCAAGAAAGTTGACAGGGAGCCTCAAGGTTCTTTGATTAGCAACAAAGAAGAGCTCAACGACAATAGAAAAACATATCAGAAGGAAGAAAAGACCTGTTTATTTTGCAAAAGCCGAATAATACCCGAAGTGTTATTCTAATATCTGGTTCTCTATTATGGAAAAGGAAAACGATGTAGAAAAAGGTAAATCGACGAAAGCTGACGACGCCTGTTTCCTCGCGGTTGAGAAAATTTAAAATACGAGACAAGGTTAGCGGGTATGGGAAACATGCATCGAACACCTTGCGAAAGGTCCTCAGAGTCATCCCCAAAGAATTTTTCAGATAAATGTTTAGTGCTTTTACTCAAAGAGATAAAACTCAGAAAATTTGAATTGTGAATTCATTCGAACTAACAAGATTGGATGTGACATCAGATTTCCCTAAAGAAATAAAGAAATTAGCTTCCCTGTTCGGAATAAAAAGCTTTAGTGAAGTTGAAAGCATCCGTAGTTGTATAGAAGAGCTACTTGGTAAAGCTGTTTAGCTTTACGAGAGACCCACCACGTGAAAACTTTGTCTGTGAACTGAATGATTTACCAACTTAAAAAGCATAGAAAGTTCGTATCTAGCATTTGTCTCCTGTTGCAAATGCGTCATGAATCAATCAAAGGACGCAAAAATTGACGAAAATCAAATCTAAATTTTCAAAGTGGAATAATGTATCTCATCAAAATGGCTTTACACAAGTCACTACTGAAGAAAATGAGACGGGATGCTCAGCCATGCACTTCATGAATCAAACTCCAGAATTTTGCTAGCAAAACTTTAGCAATTGCAAATAATTTGCTTTTGAAAGAAGCAAAAAAGTGTGTGACTCTTTATATGTTTTGAGGTAATACACAAACTAATGGAAGAACTAAAAACAAATTCACGAGGTATTCCGACTTTCGAACCAACGCTATTTGAATAATTTACATAATTGCAAGCAGTCTTGAAGACATTTTTCAAATTAAGTTAAAAGATTTTGATACCGAGGAGTCGATGAAATACATTAAGGGAAAGTGCTTGTGGAAAAATCCCAAATACTGTTCGCCCAGAAGACAAATAGTAAAATGATGAAAGACAGGTAGGGATTTGTCATGGTGTATGAGAGCAATCAATTTTTTTTTTCGAAAAATGTTTCCTCGAATTTGCCTCACAGTCATTTTTTTGCTTTATGATGCCAACCATAGTGTCAAGATGGAATACTCAAAAAAGTTTTGTTCATTTTGTCACGCTGCCTTCCATTCTTTCCGTTATTACAGAGAAGGAGGATGCATAATTACTTACTACAGAGGCGACCCGCTTACCTTGTACCTTTAAATACAAGCGTGGCAAAAGAAATCCAACAAATCTCTGGGAGTTTAGCTAACTATGTGGAGATCGCTCATGGTTCAGATCTCTATTTTTAAAACAAGCAATGAAAAACATCAAGATCATCTTTTCAACTGAAGTGTACCTCCGTAAGCAACACCTTAGATTACTCCAATGAAGACATGTATATCAAGATGTTTTCATGTGTATATTGGGACAGCAAAAAAAAAATGAGGGAAGAAATCAGTGATAAATGCTCATTCAATCAGACACCAGCTGGACACTAGGAAGCTGTAATACAAACCCCACTCAGAGACCTGATTATTTGGTGGCCAGGATTCGAAAGGTGCTCTAGAAGTCAATCTTCCAATTTCAATCAAAGCGGTATTAATGCAGAAGGCCAGTATTCAACTATATCCACCCAAATACCTAGAGTGTATGCAGCAAAATTGCTTTAACCTTTTCCTAGAAGACATACATCCTCCTCCCAAGAAGGCACGGATAAAGTCAATGAGCAGACCAATGATAATCACAATGGCACACCGCTAGAAAATGGTCAAAAATCTCTTACTCAATGTCGACTCCATCTATAAAAAAATCAAACCATGCAACCCGGGGATTCTATCATAGCGTGGAACGTCTAGAATATCAAAAGCTGTCCAAGATTCAGGAAAACAATGACCTGTGAGACAAAACACAGAATGTCATAAGCAAGAAACCCGCGATTAGAGGACGGAGATCCTTGGGTGAAGAAAATAAAAATTTGGTGGCATTATCAGCTCTATAAGCCAGGGGCCACCCACGAAAATCTACTCTTCCAAATCAATAATCAATGATTTACCGTTTTGTTCACTTGCACTGTTTGCATCAGTACTAAACATCCGTATCGAATATAACAAGAACAACTCAAAATCTAGTAATCGACAGCTTTCACATTAAAGGAAACTACAGCTCCGTCCCTTGTGATCAAAATAGCCAAAAAGGACGACATCCTCTTCTTTCAGCAAACCATAGCACGAGAATATGTACTAGCAATTGCACAAGAAGCTGGTGCATCTGAAATGAGGTGTAGTCTTCTCTGTCAGGTGATAGTGACAACCAAGCAAGAATATATTCTAAAAACAAATCTGTTTCAATTTTAGTATCACACGAGTTGTGTTGTTCGAAAATTTCCAAGGATGTTCCTAAATCATACGATTCAAGCTTTCCACGAGACTTTGTTGATACGAATTTCTCTTGTCTTTGGTAGATGAGCTAAGGCAAAGAAAAATTTGTTGGTGGCACGATCTTTAGCATTGTTACACAAACGAATGACCCCAACCCTCAAGTTTTCTATGGAGGAGACGTTAATCAAGCCATATGACTTCCAGATACAGAACAATCAGCAGTCGTTCAGTTGACAATTTGAATTGTGTGATGAAATACATAAATACGGGTACTAATGAATTCAATGAGTCATCATAAAGCAAAAAGAGACAGACGTGTCGGCGCATTGATCGATTATACGCACCCCAGATTTTGTGAGCTTGAGCCTCAAAAGTCGAGGTTTCCAAGCCTCCAATAATCACTTTTCTCGATGTCTTGCCATTAAAAAAAAAATAATAATTTAGGCGCGCCCATACGTACGTTTACACTAAGAAGACCACTACCACCTTTTTTAGCAGAATTGGCATGAGAGGTAAGCACTGGCTTTCTTGCTAGGAAGAAGTGTCTTGGTTTAAATTACATGAATTGGAATATGTCAAAATGACAGGTATTGGAATAGGTTAAAGTAACAGGAAATTTAAGTAGATTACATCCAGGGGTTCCGAGGATACTCGTGGAAGACTGTGCAAATTATGTTGAGGAATTTGGGAACTTAGAGTCTCTCTTGTTTCTCGAGCCAAGTACTACATAAAGACAATTTTTAAATTTTTCGTGGATATGAAAAGGACTTCAGTGCTTCTGTACTCACATTTCTGCTTTGGCCCATATCCAAGACGGAGGTTACCAAAAAGGTGCATATTAAGGCAAAAGAACGACCTAATAAAAACACATAATGCGCCGCTAATTTTCACACCAATTATAGCAGAAAGAATTTTTGGAGAGAAGTAGAAATGAAGTCTTTGATGAGGAAGCAACTAAGAGCCACATAGTTTTAAGACGCAGCTCATGAAGTATGTGTACTAATTTTGGTCTTGTGCTGACAAAGGCAGACATGCACACATTGAAGAAGCCTTAGTAAATCTCCTATGGACACACAGGCTCACATGAACAACTATCAGGAGGGTAATGAGGAGCAGGAAGATGATAAATAATCCTAGAGCCATAAAGACCACGTGTCAATCTGAAATGTCTAGAAACATATCTCGGGCCAATTTGGAGTCGAATCACCAATCTTCTGAAGTGAGTGACCTCCAAAGTGCCTGTATCTTCAAGATACTCGAAGGTCGTTGCTTGGGGCAGAAAACATATGTCCAAATCAATTGCATTACTGTTTCCGAAGCCTGCAACTTTTACTTCGACGACGTTAAACAAATTCTGTAATCCAGATACTTGCAATACAGAGGTAGAAGTGCTGAGGTAGACAGTCTGCGTATTTTCAATCGCAAGTCCACTGTGATACATTACATCGACCAGTTGAAAGAATTGGTTGCTCT